TTTTCGATTTGCCACAAGCAGCACTAGATATGCAACAGAATGGTGGGTGGGTACATTTTATGAATATAGCACTATATTAAAGCCCACATATGTTACATACGACAAACTCGTATAAAGATATTTTAAATCAATGAAATAAAATATTTAACATTTTGCGAATTCGTAAAACAGATTTTGTAGATTTTCCTTTAAAATGATAAACATCTGTTATGCCAAAAGTCGGAGAATACAAGTGAAGGTCATTAAGACATTTGGGGTACATTTCAGGTTGTCAACAATACCTCAAAACTCAATGAAGCTGGAAAGAAGAAAATGATGATCGATTATGGTCAAGATTTTTTTTAAAACTAAGGAAATATTTATTTTTCTTCCACTTTACGAGGAAACAGTTCAGGGGCCGCGATCAAAAATGGGGGATAAAAGAAATAGTTGTCTTTATTTTTTTGCGCAAAATATGGTTTAGGGTTATAGAAAAGGGTTGTTATTTTTTTATGTGATTAAAGTTAATTATTTAAAAAACAAAAAACAATCCAAGACTGTTACAGACGTAAATATTGGTTCATCTATTCTTCTTTAGGTTTAAAACTTTTTGGGTTGTAATTATTTCTTGAACACATAGTACGAGAGTGAGGCAAAAGAGTGGTGGGCATATTTTAATTAACTCGTCATTATATACGATTCCGTAAATTTTAGAGATATTTAAACTTTTAGATAGATTAAAAAAAAACAATGACAAATAATATGTTCTTACAATTTTTAAATTTTTGAAAATATGTTTTCTTTGTAGCTCAGGGACATGAAAAAGGTTTGACATATTATATAAGAGATAACAATTTCTAAGATGCCCAGTATGGTCGTAAAATAAACATCAATAACAGAGATACGTCTTTACAAATAACATGATGTTCTCATTTTCTACATCCTAAATAAACATTTAAAGGCAAGCAAGGAAAACTCCTTATTTTTTTTAAAATGATCGATTACATCAAAACCCTATTCAGTTACCGACGCATAAACAATAATCGGTTTAAATGTTGAGACTCGGAAGTAGGAAGTAAATACTAATGCAATATGTCTCCCATTATTATTATTATTAAATTGGATGGACCATGCCATCTAAAGTGCGGTTTTAATTTTTTTTTAAAATTAGGCGGGTACTTGATTACAAATATATGTAAATATGAATTGTGCTGTTTATAAAGCAATTCCATTTTGAAGAAATTGTGGCATCAATTTCGTTTGTGGTCAATAACAGTGCAATCCTGTTGCAAAAATAATCCCGTTCCGTCATCTTAACTAAAACAGAATGTTGGCACTTTTAAAAAAAAAAAAAAGTTTTTTTTTAGGTGTCACTTGTAAAGTTTAATTTCAATGATTTTATATTTAAGGAGACGAGTCCCAAAAACTTAAACCCAAAACCAGAATTTTACTTCTTTTATCTTGCTCTTGCTGTCATTTAAAGTGAACTGATTTCTCTGAGGCCTTACTGCTTTATCTACAAGCAGAGTTTTACAAGAAGTTTGAGAAATACAGCTTCTGTGTAGGAATACCGAAAGATCTGGGAAACTTGAGGTCTTTGCCTTTATTCTGGAGAGCAGCGTCTCCGACAGTGGACATAGTTTTGGACATGTCTTGGAAAGGGGACAGGGTGGGTGGTGTACAACGTTGACACCGGAAAAAGGTAGACTTTATGCTTGATGGGTTTGCTGCACAATGTGTGTCAGTGACTCGTGTCATGTTTAAATACTAATATCATAGTAGGATCTAACCGGGTGCAGTTGTTTTTTACACCGTGTCCGGGTATTTTGAGAACATATTCAGTGGGTCCAAGTGTTACAAAAAAAAAGAGTTAACTTCTCAGTTTCTATAATATATGCCTGTCAAACAATAGACCTATAGATATTCTTAAACCATACCCGTGGCTCTTTATTGATTAATATAACAGTCATCTTCCTTAGAGAAAAGAGATGTCACCTTTTTACCCGAGTTCAACCGCCACGCATGACGCGCGCAGCGTAATAGCCCCCCCCCCCCCGACTTAGTGACCATGGCTATCAAACATGTTAAGTAGGGTGAGGGCCGTGTGTAAATCGAGGTAGGACACACCAGGGTAAGAGATGTCACCTTTTTACCCGAGTTCCACCGCCACGAAGGGAGCGGCCAGCGTAATAGGCTCCCCCCCCCCCGACTTAGTGACCATGGCTATCAAACATGTTAAGTAGGGTGAGGGCCGTGTGTAAATCGAGGTAGGACACACCAGGGGCAAAATGTATATAACATCAACATTTAAGACACCCAATTTTTTATAAATCCCTTCCCCCGATGATACGTCACTGCACACTTTTAATTTCATGCCCATGATATATATTACTATTCTGATGCCCCAACAACTTTTACACCGAATACTTATCACACCATATTTAAATTGAGACAATTTTATTTTACAAAAAAAAAATATAATGCACAAACGTTAGTTGCGATATTTAAAAAAAAAAAAAAAAAAACATCTAACGTGGTTATAGGGAATTATATTTTTCGTGCCTCCCGTAATGGAAGCAGTCACACAACAAGAAATATGTACATATAACGGATAGATGAACTTACTGGCCTGGACTGTTATCTTTTGTAGCATGGCGTACTCTACATTTTCATAATTTTACCAGCCATCGTCAGTTACGAGCAGCCATCTTCCGTTCGATGCATAAACACTAAACTTATTGGCGTGACATTTGCCTAGCTTCACCAACCACAAGATGATGGCTACACCTGCAGTCTGGGATTGTACTGATGAGATATTCAAATTCATTAAAAATTTATTTATATCTTGAATATTACTAATCTCTGATATTAAGGGAAGATAATTCAATCAATTCGATAACGATGTTTCATATTGATGGTTTTTACGACACCTTTCCATGCACCACTCACTTAATGAACTCTTGGTCTCCTCCATTTGTCCAACACTACTCAACCACCTGCTCCACTCTTCAACTCCCCCCCCCCCCCCCCCCCCCCCCCCCCCCCCCGCCCCCCCCTCCAACCCCCCCCCCCCCCCCCCCCTAAACCTGGCTGATCCGACAATGATGTAATTTCCTCGGTGTTGATCCTCGCTGATTAATTTTCACAATACACAACACATGGGACAATGAATCACACTGCCCCAAGGAGCTGACTAAATAAGTGACAATAACAAATCCATAAATTGTCGCAGCAGGTGACTGAATAAGTGACATCAACAAATCCACACATCCCCAGCAGGTTAATGAATAAGTGACATCTCTAAATCCACACAGCCCTTGCAGTTGACTGAATAAGTGACATCTCTAAATCCACACAGCCCCAGCTTATGACTGAATAAGTGACATCTCTAAATCCACACAGTCCCAGCTTATGACTAAATAAGTGACATCTCTAAATGCACACAGCCCCAGCTTATGACTAAATAAGTGACATCTCTAAATCCACACAGCCCCAGCTTATGACTGAATAAGTGTCATCTCTAAATCCACACAGCCCCAGCTTATGACTGAATAAGTGACATCTCTAAATGCACACAGCCCCAGCTTATGACTGAATAAGTGACATCTCTAAATCCACACAGCCCCAGCTTATGACTGAATAAGTGACATCTCTAAATGCACACAGCCCCAGCTTATGACTGAATAAGTGACATCTCTAAATCCACACAGCCCCAGCTTATGACTGAATAAGTGACATCTCTAAATCCACACAGCCCCAGCTTATGACTGAATAAGTGACATCTCTAAATCCACACAGCCCCAGCTTATGACTGAATAAGTGACATCTCTAAATGCACACAGCCCCAGCTTATGACTGAATAAATGACATCTCTAAATCCACACAGCCCCAGCCTATGACTGAATAAGTGACAACATATCACCTAAAAAAATCGCCCGCAAACGTTGGATGACGACCGAGCAACCAATGACATAATTTTACTAATGTTACGTACATGGGCATATGGAATAGTTTTGTTGGAAATGTGTTCATTACCATTTATGTTGTTTTTTTGTTTTTTTTGTGTTTGGGGGGGGGGGGCGATCTAACGCTCTTTTATGGTGCATGGGGAACCACATCACAAGCGAGCCGCCATCAACCAGGCCTGGCGATGAATTAGAGTTTCCATGTGGGCTGCTGCAATGTTCTCGACTTCGCCAAACATTAGTGTCGGGCACTCGGCCAGGAAGTGTGTATACTACTTACTGTCTCTGATGCCTGCCCACAATGTAACTGATTTTGTATGGCTTTCAGAGACTAAAAAAGTTACAGCATATGACTTATATCTTAATCTTATAACATAGCTTTTTATTCGCAATATTTTACCAAAAGCTTGCTGAGCCCTGCTATACAAAATATTGATCCTATGCTTGACAGAATATTTCATAGAATGCGTCACAAAAATTTATCTGTATACGTCAGAATTTACTTCACACAATTCTCCATCACAATCTTTTAACCTTTGATGATATTCTAGTGTCTCTGGTTTTTCATTTTTATTTTACTTTAGCAGTTTAAATAGTTTACATATTTTTAATAATTGTCAATCGTTTAGAGCTGTAAGGTAAGCCCTATAAAAAAATGCCTGAATAAATAAATAAATAAATATTCGAGACTTACACATCCCATGCCCTGCATCACAAAAAAAAAACGTTTAGATTTATTCATAAAAAGAAACTTGTTTTTGTTTTAAAAAAAAATCTTTTAAAAAGCTTCTAGTTATAATTTATGACGATAAATTATTGGAGAGAAAAATAATTATGATTTCCTCATCTTTTACCGCCAACACAAGTGACACACACGACGTAGAAACAATAATAAACCCTTTCTCAGAGCAAACAAAAATAGTATCTACATTTAAACCTTGCAAATGAGTTATTCACACGTTCATTTTTTAGAAAATTTCATACTCATTTAACAACGATCATAATTTGCAAGTTCTGTATTAAACATAATTTGCAAACAATTATTGTACAACATTGGTGGTCAATATGTGCCACAGTAGTTTCTTCAAGAGATGGTATCTTATGACATCCGGGCAATTGTTAACCATCAGAGTTGTCAACAACATCCGTTATATTATCTTGTCCCAGCACCTATTTGGAAACAGGAAGGAAAGATGGTGAAATCATAGATTCTTTTTCTCAACACTAATTTATTCTTAAATATTTCAGCTCAGAAAAGTTCTGCGTTCAATGAAATCTTATAAATAAACAAAATAGCTTATTATTTTACTCAGTAAAATTAAATGAACTATAGAAATTGTTTTTTGAACTTGCTCCAGCAAAAGATAGTGGGGGAAGGGGTTACACGAGTTTTTATGGCTTGATGGGTGGGCCTAATGGTAAATAGCTTATTTTTCTATTATACTAATATATTGTGTTACATCAATAAATCGAGACAATATATCGTTTTCTGACATGCATGTTGGTGAGGAAACGTCTCAGAACTCTTTCATACTCCATCTCTCTATTTAATAACATCGATCATTGTAGTTTTATCTGTGTGCCTCTGAGCAGTAGATCATCTCATAACAGCGAGTGTATTGTAGTTTTATCTGTGTGCCTCTAAGCAGTAGATCATCTCATAACAGCGAGTGTATTGTAGTTTTATCTGTGTGCTTCTGTACTCTATAGCATTCATGGGATGAAGTGAATTCCCCAACCATAAACTGTCGTTTTCAGTGCAAACCAGGGCCAGCCAATAATTTTGCAGACCCCCTTCGACGGAAAAAAAAAACTATTTGTTTGGTCTATATTGCCGCCTATCCGTATAAAGAAAAAAGTACCGCACATTGTGGTCCGCCCTCAACCACCCACATTGTGGTCCGCCCTTCACCACCCACATTGTGGTCTGCCCTCCACCACCCACATTGTGGTCCGCCCCTCCACCACCCACATTGTGGTCCGCCCCTCAAACACCAACTTTGTGGTCCGCCCCTCCACCACCCACATTGTGATCCGCCTCTCCACCACCCACATTGTGATCCGCCCCTCCACCACCCACTTCCTACGCCACTTGGCTTTTCTCTACAGCAGCGTTCAGTTCTTCCATTTTGACCCCCCCCCCACGGCTTCTACGTTGGTCGTCATTATGAGCTTAGTAAGGCAACTAATATATTTATTTAGCTAACTTATTAAGGCTACATCCCTTGTTGTAAATTGTAATGACGATGCTTGCCTCAAGGAAGACTTGTACAGAACGTATTAATTATGGGATGATCTAATCGAGTGCATCATTTGAAATACACATGAAGCCTTCACACAACTTCGGTGTAACAAATGTGAATGGATAACCTCATCCAATAACCTTATTCAATAACCGTATTCAATAACCTAATCCAATAATACAAGGTCCCAGTTTGCTTAGCACAAGACAATTTAAAAAAAAATAATAATTCAATGAAAGCTAAATAATGTTAAATTTCTATGATTGGAAACATCTGCCATAGGAGATTGGTAAGCTTCGAAGTAGTTACGCTTTCACTCACCTAGGCATATTCTTCGCACAATTTTCCTTTCGATTAGATGCAGAGCATCAAAACCTGTGGTTACGATAATATCCTGAGGGTCATTGACTATGGGATAGAGCTCTCCAACTGTGTCCGCTGACCCTATCGCAACAGCGATGATCCCAACACCTTCGTCTCTCAGCCTCTGTCCCATTGCAATCGCTGTCCGACAAATTTAGAGCATTCAGATCACCAGAACATTATTATTTACGAGTCTATACAATTCCCGCAATATTCTAACAGTTTCCACAATATTATAACAGTCTGCACACTATTATAACATTCTGCACATTATTGTAACATTCTGCACAATATTAGAACAGTCAGCAAAATATAAGTCTGCACAATATTATGACAGTCTGCTCAATATTATGACAGTCTGCACAATATTATGACAGTTTGCACAATATTATGACAGTCTGCACAATATTATGACAGTCTGCACAATATTATGACAGTCTCCACAATGTTATAACAGTCTGCACAATGTTATGACAGTCTGCACCATATTGTGACATTCCCCATAAAATTATAATGTTCGCAACAATATATAACATACTCCACAATACCATTACATTCTACACGATGTTATACAATTTCCCACAATATTATACAAGTCTCCACAATAATATACCTGTCTCCACGATATTATAACATTCCCCACAATATTATCATAACTGATGATGGTCTGTTTTTAGGAAATTTTTTGAATGTTTAATCATTCATCTCTGGTTTAAGAATTTCTCAATAGCATTAAAAAAATTAAATGCATATCAAATTAAGACAACATCAACTTTGTAAGATTTTACTAATCAATTAGTTCGTGTGGTTTGTTGATCTCTTATTAGATGTTTGTGCTTTCTAAGCAGAGCTTTGACTGGTAGGCCGCCTGCATACTCACCGTTCAACATAGTATTAGTCATCTTCGCATGCCAAGTGAGTACTGACTTTTGAATCTAGCCTTGGTCAACTTTGCATGCCACCTGCGTACTCACCTTTGAATACAGCATTGTTTATTGTTTATCTTCGCAAGCGAAGGATGAACCACAACAAACGTGTTGTATATCATTAAAAAAGCTGATTTGAAAGACCAAGGGAAAGCCTATTGAGCATTTTTATGTTAAACGCAACAGGCACACTTTTGTTGCCAGGACTCAATCAAAACTCACTCCTAGTCGGACTAGACGATCCTTCCTGAATAAAGAGCACAACAAAGTCTTTTGCGTCGGGCCTGCCACCGTGTTCCTCGTCAAATATGTGGTAATCGCTGATATATTCAAAGGCTTCGTCGGTAAACGTCTGGGCATTCAGGAATCTGGCTCTTTTCAGTAACTGGATAAAAAAAAGATAATTTTAAAAAATGTAACATAATTAATGTATTCAGCGACTGGTTACAAATCGTGATGTAATTATTAAAATCAATAACGTTTTGATAACATAGTAGGTTTATTTAAAGATACGTACATTGCAGAAATGCATAAAGACGCCGTTGATTTAGATATTGCGTACTGAGTTTGAATAAAACCGTAGAGTTATTTAAAAGATGATGGCATGAACCAGGAATTAGTTCAATGTATGTCTCTTATAAGACCCAAGAATATCCCAACTGACCGTGTCTATGCAAGTATGGTTCTCGCAGGTTTCCAGGTCAAATAAGTTCACGGGGGCCCAGCTGTAGGTTATACCAGCATACTGAACGTTGGCTGGTCCCTGCCAGAAATTTGTTGTGAACTCGGAAGCAAAATTTAAGAGGGTCGGCCAGTTCTGTGCACCGACACTTTTAGAGGAGTCCATCAAGAGGACGATGTCGGCCACAGTGTTTCTTTGACATTTGTTGTAGTCACACATTAACCCTGGGTAAAAGAGAAACATTAATAAAATTGATCAGTTACTTCATACAGTTTTAAGATTATTATTTTTTTTTTAATATAAAAACTTCAATGTACAGAGGAACTTAGATGATGTGAACTAACTACTGCCGCAGTAGGTTGTAAAAACTACTTTTGGATGATGGAAAACATTCGCAGGTCTAACCGTACATAAAACTTTGTCTTTGCAGACATGTAGTCTGAGATATATAATAAACTATTTGGCAGATCGCACTATCACTGCCCGTGCATGACATATCTAGATTTAAATGTATTGTGCTACATGGTCGTATGTCTCTCTGGTAGTCTTACGCCCATGCCCGCATGACATTTTACTGAATGTCAAGATGATTTTTTTTTCAAAATTATAAGTGAATTATTACATAAATGCCCTTTCTAAGCTGGGGTTGCAGTTAAAATTCAATTCGTATGAAAAAAAGGGTATTCTTCATTTGAGTATATTCTATTCAACGCGTTTAATCTGAGAAGTACACTTCCTGCTGTCATTACCATTGCAAGCTAGAGGTTGCTGCCCGGCTGCCAGAAAGAGGAGAATTTCGGCCAGCCTGAGTCCAGCCAGCAAGCCCTCGATGATGGCTCTGATCAAAGACTCGAGATATAAGACCAGCGGCTGGTAACCATTGACCTCCACTTCACGTTCTTTTCCCTGTGTGGCAACGCCGAGTTCCGCTTTGAGAAATGAAGAGCATAGAGTTAGTTGGTTTGTTTACAGCATACAAGTTAATGCGATGGGATGACTTGAAAAAATTGAAGACCTTCGGTAAGCGCCTCTTCAACACATTAAACATGCTAAAATCATATCAATGAAGGTTCTGCTAAATAGTTATTTGCGTAATGCACTATTTAGGATTAATAACAGTATTCTTGTTTCACGTGTCCAGTATAGAAAAAATATAGAAGCACAATCTTTTAATTTCGTTTGTATTAATTTCGCTTTTTTTAGTCTGTTTCTTTCTTTGTGGCGGCAAAATCTCCGGAAGGCTAACTGACCCACTTCCCCGTCACCCTATCAAGCGGAAATTCGGCCTATACATTCGTCACCGATGAGAGCACCCTATCAAACTTTCAGCCCCACCCGTCCCCTCCCGAAAAATAAGTTTTTTCCTGTTTTTCAAATGGTTTTGGGGATATGAAGTATTTGTTCTATGGTTGCGTGTTTTGGCGTGGAGATTAATTGTTTAGCTGTTTCTATGTGCTTTGTTTTTGTGACGCCATTGGGTATGCGGTAAAAAAAAAATTAAATGTATTTTTTAGGGGACAGTGAAGGACATATGAAACATGTTTCCACCAGAAGTTTACCCAATTACTTAGCCGTTTCTTAATAAATGATAAATCACGTGCAATTACATAAATGCAAAAAAAAAAAAAATAAATAATAATTTAAAAAAAATAATAATAAAAAAATAATGCCAATAATGGATTTACAGGAAAAAAAAACACTTTTGGTTTTAGGTGTTGTTCAATTATCATAAAAATTCTTAGTTCTATGCACATTAAAAAAAGAATTAATTTATGACATCATGGCAATTAAAAATATTTATCCATTTTGAAAAATAATTACAACAACAACCAACTCTCACGCACAATTAAATGACCTGTCTAGTTTTTTTTTTCTATGTATTTGAATAACATGATTAAAATAAAAATACAATGGTATTGGAAGTCCTGGTCACAGCAACCGAGCTGAATAAGAAGATTGGTACAAGACTAATCAGCTACGTCGACATCCCACTCTATTGCCTTACTGGGAATTGGGACAGATTTCGCAAAAAAAGAACGACGTGAAAACTTTAACGCTAAGCTACTGAATTGTGGGATTGAGAATTGTGGGATTGAGAATTGTGGGATTGAAAATTGTGGGATTGAGAATTGTCGGATTAAGAATTGTGGGATTGAGAATTGTGGGATTGAGAATTGTGGGATAGAGAATTGTGGGATTGAGAATCGTGGGATTGAGAATTGTGGGATTGAGAATTGTGGGATTGAGAATTGTGGGATTGAGAATTGTGGGATTGAGAATTGTGGGATTGAGAATTGTGGGATAGAGAATTGTGGGATTGAGAATCGTGGGATTGAGAATTGTGGGATTGAGAATTGTGGGATTGAGAATTGTCGGATTAAGAATTGTGGGATTGAGAATTGTGGGATTGAGAATTGTGGGATAGAGAATTGTGGGATTGAGAATTGTGGGATTGAGAATTGTGGGATTGAGAATTGTGGGATTGAGAATTGTCGGATTAAGAATTGTGGGATTGAGAATTGTCGGATTGAGAATTGTGGGATTGAGAATTGTGGGATTGAGAATTGTGGGATTGAGAATTGTGGGATTGAGAATTGTGGGATTGAGAATTGTGGGATTGAGAATTGTGGGATTGAGAATTTTTGGATTGAGAATTGTGGGATAGAGAATTGTGGGATTGAGAATTGTGGGATTGAGAATTGTGGGATTGAGAATTGTGGGATTGAGAATTGTGGGATTGAGAATTGTGGGATTGAGAATTGTCGTATTGAGAATTGTGGGATTGAGAATTGTGGGATTGAGAATTGTGGGATTGAGAATTGTGGGATTGAGAATTGTGGGATTAAGAATTGTCGGATTGAGAATTGTGGGATTGAGAATTGTGGGATTGAGTGAACGGTCTTGGTCCAAGTGAATTAGTCTTTTTTGTTTTCTATGTATGTCAGTGTTGTCTATTAATAACATTGTTGTCTATTTATAATAGTGTTGTACATTTATGATATTGTTGTCAATGTATACATCTTTCAGACATGGAGTACACAAGTAAAAGAAATAAAATTTATATAGCAAACGAAATCTTAGACTTACCAGTTTGCAACCCAGCAAAAAGTGTCAAAAACATTGACAAGCATAGAGTAGTCGCCAGCATCATGTCTGTGTTCGAGAAATATTCAACGTCTATTTTCCACACAGCGTGGTCGATATATAAGCGGAACACTTCTTGAAGTGGACATTTGTTAATGGCTTGACACCTGGTTAGAGTGGCAAGTAGCGCGCGATCAAAAGACATTGCCTGTTGGCCTTGTGAGATATCCCCCCCCCCCCCAGGCACAATCACGTTTGTTGTGTTTGCGATGGAAAAAATTAGAGTAGTCGCCAGCATCATGTCTGTGTTCGAGAAATATTCAACGTCTATTTTCCACACAGCGTGGTCGATATATAAGCGGAACACTTCTTGAAGAGGACATTTGTTAATGGCTTGACACCTGGTTAGAGTGGCAAGTAGCGCGCGATCAAAAGACATTGCCTGTTGGCCTTGTGAGATATCCCCCCCCCCCAGGCACAATCACGTTTGTTGTGTTTGCGATGGAAAAAACATAATTGCAACTACAACACAACATGAGAACAAAGAGATACAATGATTGAAAAAAGAAACAATAATTGTTGATACGGAATTAAGTTATTGACACAAATTTTAATAAACTAATAAATAGTTTTTCTTCCAAAATTCAATCAATAGATCCCTGTGTAATTAGATGCGTTTTTGAAAAAAAAATTAATCTCTCAACAATGAGTTGGACCCCATATTTTAAAATCTTTAGCTTGTTTGTTAATACCATTAAATTGTTTAAATGTCTAAATTTGGATTTATTATTTAGAAATAATTGATATAAAATAATAAATAAGTAATGAGTCTAGTATAACAAACAATTGCCCCGCACGAGACCCACAAGCTAGTCTAGAAAACAAACATGAAATACATTTTTGATCAAGAAAACAAACTTCAAGTCCACCCTTGATCAAAGATACACTCGTGATATACATCTTTGATCAAGGCACTTTTTCATCTTCTAGAACCAATGTTAATCAGAGTAATAAAGATATTGACAGGCTTAAAGCACTAACAGTGTTCAAGCGCGAAATTGTTTTTCAAGCTGTGAGATTGTTGCAGCGCACGATGAACGGTGAACAATAACATGACTTAGGATAATACAGCTTTCATAATGCATCACAGATGAGTCATTAAATGTTTCAAGGTTGCATACCTGGAAGTGTTGGGGGGAGTAATGGGTGGGGGACAATGTAAGGAGAGTGGGATGGATGGTTTGGTAGAAGAGGAACATCACATCAGATTGCTCACCAGTGGTTCTAAAACATTTTTCATCCACCACCCCTTTCGGGACATAAAGTCAGCCTTAGTCCCACCTCTCCCCCACCTTAAGATTATCGCTTTTCTGAATGCCAGTTATCCGAAGCGTCGGTTAATCGAACACCCCCTTTCCATACTATAATTGTCAAACGCATTCATTTTTTTTTTCTCTCAACTTTTGCTTCTGCTAAATAGCATTTATGAAGTGTGCCCATCTCCATTTCATACAAACATTTAACGGATTTATCATACCATCTGTGATTGAAATTAAAAAAAAAACAACAACACACATAAAATTTCCCGCATACTATCATATTGGGAATCCAAATATGTTCACATATTTCATTGCTAATAATCGTAAAGCACCTACGTGTATATTCTTATCTACTCGCAAGAAAAAAAAATCATAACTCGAGACGGCCAACATTGCTTTAGAAATAGAGCTAATTCTCATACCCAAGTAAATGAGACTGATATGTTTATTTAATAATATTGAGTTCATTTCCGTCCAGTTGCGAACAAATGTCGTTTTAAATATGAATAAATATTTCTAAGAAATGTGCAATGTCGTTTGTGAAGCCTAAGACATTTAAAAAAAAAAAAAAAAAAAAAAAAAAAAAAAAAAAAAAAAAAAAAACAAAAAAAAAAAAAAAAAAATAAAAAATAAAAAAAAAAAAAAAAAAAAAAAAAAAAAAAAAAAGCACTTATATCTTTCCACATCTACACAATATTGTGTTTAAGTTAATGCCTTTAATGCCCCCGCCCCCCTTCCCCCCCCCGCCCTCCCCCCCCCCAAAGAAAATCTAAGTTTTAAGAACGTGTAATCATTGTCAGCATCCATGGCTTAGACTCAATTCTTTGCCAGCTTCCATGGCTTAAACTCAATTCATTGTCCATTGTCAGCATCCATGGCTTAGAATTAATTCATTGTCAGAGACCATGGTTTAAACTCAATTCATTGTCATCGTCCTTGGCTTAAACTTAATTCATTGCAGTTATACTTGGGATATTGTATCAGACGATCACAGAGTTTTGAAGCATCCTGATGCTGTCGAAAAATTTCACGACTGATAGTCAAGACATCAGGTACCACCCCCCCCCCCCATAAATAATATGTGTTCAACAAGTCATGGATGGTGCTTTATCAATCCAATAGACATTTTTTCCACGCGTGATTTACTTAAAGTAATGCTCAACAGAACGAAATATTGGTGCACCTTCCATTTGCCTCTTTAGATGTCTTTCAAACAGCATCATTTGAACCAAACTTTCTTCAGTTATATAACGTACATGAGCAAGAAGAATATGTTCATTTCATGAATAATCGACGCATTCCGTTGTCATAAAATATTCCATTTTATCGTCCACTGTTCTCTACTATCAACATTGTGTCTATGAGCTCAGAAACTCAATAATTTTTGGGGAAAAAAATTTGATTTCATCACTTACTGTATTGAATTCTCCAGATTTAGCAATCAGATCTCATGGTAATGATTTTCCCATTTTGTATATGAGAGGCTTTGCAAACGAATACTTGACAAGATTCGCCGCTAATTTTCAAGTCCTTTTGTATAAGCCAATTATTGTTAACCTACTGCGCCCTGCTAAGTATGCCTTGAGCTTCAGTTAAATATAAATATCTTCCTACTCAATTCAACAAATTTCTCTTCAACAGCACAGTGATTGACATAAACCTTCATAAATAGCTTTAAAAAAATTAAATTTGTATACTTTTATTGGCATGATTGGTTTTGGGGAAAAAGTGGGCGAGACATGACTCAAGGCTCCGTGGCGTTGAATATGAACACGGGAAGGGGTTGTGGGAGGGGTTGGGAAGGGGTTGTGGAGGGGACAAACGTTTCTTGACTGGGCGTGGTCAAGACGGAAATGTGAGTGGGTGGTCTAATTCATTTGCATAAATCGCCGTTTCAATGTGGCAGTTAGGATAGTTTGATGACGTCCATGTTAAAAAGGCCACATATGAAAAAAAAAAGTTATAGCCGGGTAATATACTTTATTTACCAACAGCTTGCTTTTTACTTGACTCTGGCAACGTCGCTCAAATGACGTGGAATACACACTGGATGCTATAATGGTCAGTTTTATGATATTAACTCATCACTATATGCATCAACGGTCATTTTTGTAACATATGCTGACTGCTTACGCTGCGAAAATCGCGGCAGTATCTTTCTAAAAAAATAACATATCTTCATCTCCTTACATACCGAAGAAGTCTTTTAAATATACATAGAAACTCTTTGTACTCTTTTATTATAATCTAATCACGATTGCATGTTAACTTACGGTTTGTACTTATGTGTTCTCCTGTTAACTTGTTTTAGTTCAAAGAGTGTAAATAATTCATCCTGTCCTGACATTTCACGAATAGCAAACACAAGCACAATTATCAAAAAAACAACAACACCACAATGAGCCACATTCTGCAATGAACATCAAGTTTAATCATCTGTACAGCACGTATGGTTAATGTGTGCAATGGTTTCCCTAAACATGGAAACACATTTGATGACCGAATGGCATTGATCAACCTCCAGAGTTTGAGACTACAACCATCCTCTTAGTTTGACACAGTTCCCACAGCTCCTGAAAAAGGGTGGGGGAGAGTGAGTACATTAAGTTTTTTGTTTTTCTTATCACCAATAATTCTTATAAAAAGTGTCTGTAACTTTTAAGGTATACATATTCTAGTACATCAATATCATAGTACATGTCTACACGTTGACGTCCCTATCATAATACATATCTATCACATGAACATTCCATCATAATGACATCCATATGTAATCCCAATCATATGACATATCTATCATAGTAAATCCTTTCAATAGGGCATCTCTATCATAGGAAATTTCAACCAGCACGTAATAAAAGCTGAAAAAAAAAAAATTTTTTTTTTTTTTTTTTTTTTTTTTTTTTAAATTGCTAATGCTGTGTCCGGGGCTCTGGTTGGTAAGTCTGTAGTGGCTCGCTGACTAAAGAGGCTCTGGGACTTACTCCGGTGGTTACCCGGTAAACTAAACGACCATTACTGGTGCCTATGTTGGCAGACAAGGGACATGCATGGAATCTGCCAGAAAAAATGATAGCATCTTCAGGGCAACCAGCTGAGGAAAATCTGCAGTTGGATTTGAAAGAAATGAAACAGCATAGAGAGCATGATTACATGTTGCCGTTGATAGATATGAGGCATGGGGTGGGTCATGGCACCGACATGTCAATGATTCTATTTAAGCAGCGTTTGAGGAAGTTGTTCCCAGGCAACCGTTCGTCCCAGCTGCTTCGTAAATTAGTTGCGAGGTAGAAACCCACTGTAGAAACCAACCATAGAAATCCCTATTACAGGTCGTCTGACGCTTCCTCGGGATGGGAGGGGTAAGATTTTAAGGATGTCAATATACCATCTCACCCCCTAGGAAAAACGACTGCTGATGCTGTGAGAGCAGTGACACCGGTTAAAAAGATGTCCTCGGGGTGGGTTGTCTTTCGTTGGCACCTGATCGAGTGAGGGCTGATGGGGGTTGTCGTACTGAAGGGAGATCTCTAAGGGGCCGCTTTGTGGCCCGATACTCGATCTTTGGGGGGGGGGGTGCTTTGGGGAGGGCATAAGGAGCTTTGTACTAGCGCGAAGGCCCGCTGACGCCATTTCCTAATGTACAAAATTTGCGAATGCGCCTTGATACATTTTCCCGGAAGACGTGCAACGTCATCATGGTCCAACCTGTAGAACTCTCACCTTGACATATTCTCCTCACTATTTTTGTCTCGATTTCCTTCA